GGGTCCCAGGTTCGATACCGGTCAAGGGCATGTACCTTGGTTGCGGGCACATCCCCAGTGGGGAGTGTGCAGGAGGCAGCTGAATATGTTTCTCTCTCATCGATGTTTCTAACTCTCTATCCCTCTCCCTTCCTCTCTGTAAAAAATCAATAAAATATGTTTTGGGGGAAAAAAAAGTAGGCAACTCTCCAAAGTGACCCCACTGGTGCTGCGAAAGGGAAGTCGGGTGGATGAAGGCACTGTCACGGGACCAAGTGTCTCGATGGGCCGGAGCAGCAGCAGACACAGAGGATCCCGCCTGCTGCTCAGCCTGCGTCTACACCCTGCATGGACCGGCCGGAGCTTCCAGATGCTCGATGACCACAGCTGACACTCCTTTCTTGGAGCAAAGTCCCTCCCTAAGATTCTTATATTGGACCCTTTCCATCTCTCTTACAGCCTGAGAGGCAACTCAAAATCACTTACATCAACCCCGGCAAACACGACTAGAAACTAGTGCTTTGGAAACAAAGTCACACTCATTGTAAAACCACACATGTAACCTGGTTCAACCGGCAGCACCAGGGGTCGCCAAGGTCCCCTGGCACCTTACATGTGACGACACATGCTCACATGGTCTCACTTCTGCTTTTTGCAACAACCTAATGAGCTACATATATGTTATTAGTTCTAATTCACAGTTGAAGGAGCTGAGGAGCGGAATTAAATTATTTAGCCAAGAAACTTGGCAATAAGTGTCTAAATTCCCATCTTCAGTCGCATCACAGCATACCTCGCCTCCGGTGCTCGAATGTACGAGGTTTCCAGTTTTACAGGAGAACTTGCTGACTTGGATTCTATGGACACTGAAGCCCAGGAAAATGTACTTTTTTAAAATATATTTTTATTGATTTCAGAGAGGAAGAGAGAGGGAGAATGAGACAGAAACATCAATGACTAGAGATAATCATTGATTGGCTGCCTCCTGCACGCCCCCTACTGGGGATGGAGCCCGCAACCTGGGCACGTGCCCTGACCGGGAATCGAACCGTGACCTCCTGGTTCATAGGTTGACGCTCAACTATGGAGCCACGCCAGCCGGGCAGGAAAATGCATTTTTAAGTTCTTAGGCTAGTTCTGATCATTCCCAGCTCTGGGATCTCCACAGGACACACAGGGAAGGAAGCAAAGTGTCGGTAGGGATCTTCCGCCACTTTGGTCTCACAGTGAAAATAGAAAGGGTCCGCCGACCCAAAAGGGCTCGGTACCTCTGCACAGAACCGACTACAAAGTCTGTGTGGCAAGCCGGCACAGCCATGGCATACTCAGCCCCACATAGGGCGCCTTATGTGCCGCCCAGCTCAGTCAGGTTTGGTGACCCTGAGAGGGGGCAGTGAAGGACTGAGAAAAGACAGACAAAACAAGAAAGCTGGGTCTGGGTGGGACGCTGCCCTCTCTGATAGAGAGACAGCACCACCGACTACAAGCCGTGTCTTTATTTTATAGCCAGATTCCACGAGGCAAAGTAAGGGCGTGGTCAAGATGTTTACAACATTCTCGTGAGTTTCGATCCTACTCAACTACATGCACCTGAACTCTATCAAGCCCACATCACTCAGCCACGTGAGACCACGTGTTTGGACCATAGGTTCAAGCTCACAACCATAGCTGTTGGCTATAACTGCTGGGAGGGCTCTGCCCTCCAAGTTGGGGCTTGCACGTGGCCATGAGAGGACTGTGCCTTCTCATTAGTCTGAAGCTTGAACCTGTCCAAACACTGTAGCCGCTCTCCACAAGCCTGAACTGAGAGTATGTCAGGACATTTGAGAGTTCCCCAAAAGCTGTTAAAGGGGGAAATTCTGCTGTGTTTACAATTCAGTAAATAAAGAAGAACCGAAAGCGAGAGACTTTTCGTAAACCCGTTCTGTTCGTTCTGTATCGTCACCATGACTGCAGCGTTTCAGGTTAGCCATCACACACACACACACACACACACACACACACACTCACAAACACACACAGCTACACAGCTAAACTGTCTCCCAGAACAGCGGTCTGGGAGGGCTCTGCCCTCCAAGTTGGTCAAAGGAGTCTGTGAGATCCGAAAGGTTGGCGACCGCTGTCCCAGAAACCAGGCCCAAAGCATGAAGCTACCAAAGTAGCGACTGAACTGAGCAATTCTCCACCACAAATCCTCATGAAACGAGCCAAGGACCCAAGGAGACCGAAGAAATGGCCAATAAGCACATGAAGAACGACTCAACACCACCCCTCCTCCGGGAAATGCAAACCAGAACAATGTGATGCCATGTCACAGCCACTCGGACGGTGAGAACAAAAACACAACAAAATCCTGAGTGCTGGTGACGAAGTGGAGGAACGGGAACGCCACACAGGGCTGGCGGGACGGACACGGGGCAGCTGCTGTGGAACACACATGGGCTGTTCCTCAAAAAGTTCAACAGAGTCACCACGTGGCCCAGTAATTCCGCTCCCGGATGTGTCCCCGAAGAATTACAAATCGGTGTTCAAGCAAATGTTTACACATGAAAGTTCACAACAGCCCAAGGGCAGAAGCAACCCCAATGTCCAGCAACGGATGGATGGGTAGAGAAAACGTCGCATGTGCATACACTGCAAAACTGGAGCATGCTTCAGCCCCCAAAGGAATGCAGTGCTGATACGCATGTGCCGCAACATGGATGGACCTAGCAAACATGTGCTAAGTGAAAGAAGCCAGACGCCAATGCCACGTATTGTGTGAACCAGGCGAATCCAGACACAGAAAGCATATCCGTGGTTGTCATGAACTAGGGAAGGAAATGAGAGTGGTTACGTGATGAGGAAGGACAGTGTTTCCTTTTCAGGTGATGAAAAAGTTTAGAATTAGACACTGGGGATGGCTGCATAATATTGTGACTGTATTTAATGCCACTTTAAAATGATAAATTAAAAAACAACCACATGGGCCCAGCCAGCATGGCTCAGTGGTTGAGCATTGACCTATGAACCAGGAGGTCACAGTTCGATTTCCAGTCAGGGCACATGCCTGGGTTGTGGGCTCGATCCCCTGTGGGGGGTGTGCAGGAGGCACTGAACCATTATTCTCTCTCATCATTGATGTTTCTATCTCTCTCTCCCTCTCCCTTCCTCTCTGAAATCAATAATAAACAAACAAATAAATAAATACATTCTACATGGAACTTTTAAATAAACCACTAATAAATGCATCACACATCTTTTTTTAAAAAGACCATGTTGAAAGGTAAAGGTGAAATTCATTTTAAAACTGAAAGAGATTCTGACCAATAAACATTCTGGTCGTCGATCCCCGTGTTCGATGGGACGGTGATGGCACTGCACTGCATCTGTGCAGACTGTGACATCACAGTCTGTGACATGAGCATGCGCTTCAGGAGCCCTGAGTACCCAGCCCGAACAGGTGGTGGGCGCACACACCGTGTACGAAGGACTCTGAGTACCAGAGCCACCCGTGTCTACATCGAAGGGCAGGAGAGAGAAGCACTGCTTGAGTTGAGAAGAACATTTAAGATGACCTTGAGCAATGCAGAACAATCAGACCTTGGCCCCAAGTGGAAACCAGTTCTCTCATCTCCCTCTGCCTCTCCTCTCCCCCAATATTTATAAGATGTTCTAATTTCACTTGCTATTTTTGTTTGAACTCCTTACCTGTTCTGAGGTGCCCTGATAGTTACACAGGCAAGAGCCTGCTTTCAGGGAAGAGCAGGGAAAGGTCTGGACTCCCTGCTGGCCTGGGCCTGGAGAGTGGACCGGCCTGGTTCCAGGCAGACCTCCAGCATGAAATGCCAACAGTGGGCATGATGGGAGCTGCCAAGAAAGAGTGGGCCTGGGCGTAGCTGCCTCCTCCCTCCTTCCCTCTAGAAGTGGCCCAGGGAACCACACGTGAGCACCTGGACCAACCCAGAACCGACCTGGCCCTTCAACAAGCCAATGGCAAGAGGGCAACCAAGGAGGACGTACTGTCCACAACCAGGAGGGACTTCGAGTCACACAACCAAACACAACACGCGGACATTCTTTGGATTCTGATGGAAAAAATCAATTGTAAAAAGATATTTTGGGAATACTCATGGCATGATACTAAAAACTTACGGTTAATTTTCCTGATGGACAACAGTATTATGAAGACATGAGAAAATGTTAAGTTTTATAGGTGTACACTGTCCGGGAGTTGCTCTATAATAACACACACACACACACACATACACACACAAAGATAAAACAAAATGTTGGTAATTGTTAAATCGAGCTGTGCATTACTAAATCTAGATGGGAATTCGCTACACTCTTCTTTCCAGTCCTTGGGCCATTCAAACATACTATCTGAATGTGCTAATACTCATAATAAAAAGTAACTGGCCCAAGCCAAGGCCCCATTCAGGTCACATATGAAATGATCATATGGTTTCCTTAAGTCATTCCTATTTACTTCATGCCCCACCTTGTTTCAGACACGACTCACTTCAACAACCACATTCAATGCCATTCAATTAAAAAAAAAAGCAAAAAATAAATAAATAAAAGTGGATAAGGGAAAAGGAACAAAAAATCTAAGATCCGAGAGATATCTGAAATGATCAAATGAGGCCAGGAGTGGTATTAGTCTAAAACAATGATGTTGCAATACCCTGTACACCTGTTAGAAGTGGCCACAATCAGGCTCTCCACTCTTTGGCACGTGATATAGAGCTAAAGACTGACCAGCTAAATGAGTTGTCGTGTTCTTAAGATTA